ATTTTGAAAGAGAGAAAAATGTTTTTATAAGAGGAATGAAAATCCAGTCAAAAACGATAAGATTTGTCTTTTAATAAGCAATGACTATCTTTGATATTTCAAAATCAAAAGTCAATGCACGAATAACTTTTGTGGAAACTAATTCAATAGTTACCGAAAATATTTTTTCCAAAATCTTTTCCACTTAGGTATGCGTAGATTTTTCCAAAATCTTTTCCACTTAGGTATGCGTAGATTAAAAAAAGCAATGATTTGGGCTTTTCCTTTTGAAGCATTTATTGAGAATATTTCAAAAATAACTTTAAGAAAGATAAAAGATATTTTGTGTTTATAAATAAAATTTCTCTCTATCCTACATTAATTTCCTAAGACTCCTTAAATACTAACCAAACAAAATATCTTCATTGATCTTTATGATCTTCAAATAAAAGTCTTAGATTATAGGATCTTCAAATCTTCTCAATAATAATTTCAGCATACAGTAACTTTAGCACAACAAAAATATTAAATTTATTCTATGACATCCTACTGAGTCGAGTCATTGCATAAAGTCGAGTTAAGTCGGGCTGAACCAAACCCGGTTGGGGTAGAATGGGATTATAAGTGGACTTACTTGAATGAGACAAAAAGATCAAAGTTAAAAACCTTAATATTACCATTTACAATAAAAATTCTATATCTATATTTCAGTTTTGAATTTTTATTATTTATTAGATCATTTAAAAATATTTTTTAAGTTCAAAATTATTATTTATTTATAACAAATAAACATATATTTATATTTGTCTTATTAATTATTTTTGATTGTTAGATTGGATTTTGTGTGGTCTCGTTTATGTATGGCATAACGCTCAAAGGAGATGTGGGGTGAATGGCGTTTTCTTAAAATTTTGACTTTTCAAAAACACAAGCATCAAAATTTGCTGTAGCGAAATTAGAAAGCAATTTGCTGAGAGGTTAGTATTCAAGTGTAGCGAAATTAGAAAGCATTTGTGAGAGTTAGTATCAAGTTTAGAACTTCCTCACAGCTTATTGCAAATTTAGAAAGACTTTGTGAAGAATAATTATTGCGTTTAGAATTGCTTCACAAAGCTTAAGCAAATTTAGAAAGACCCTTTGAAGAATAATTATTGCGTTTAGAACTACTCTGTAAAGTTTAAGCAAAATTTGAAAACTGATTATCACTCATATTGTGATTTATACTAAATGTCGAAGGGCAGATTAGAACTTGGTATAATCAGAATACAGAAATCCATAATTCTAATGTTCCACAGACATAAAGCTTATTCACGTTTAGAACTGAAAAAATTAACAGTTGTGTAAATAGAATATGATCAAGCAGAACTTCAGAAAATAAAAGAAGATAAACACAGAGATTTATAGTGGATCAGCACTAACTGATCTACATCCACTCCCCAACACTCATCTTAAAATTCTCCACTATGTTATCTCTTTTCAAGGATAAGAGACAAACCAACTTTATAAGAAAATAGATCAATACCTAAATCTAACCTTTGTCCCACTAGATTTCTAAAGGTTCTCGTCAACCTCAACCCTTTCTGTTTTTGCAAAGAACAGAAAATCACATCAAGACATTAGAATCTCACATAAGGAGAATGTCGCTTGATAACCTTTTACACCATAGCTTTTCAGCTAAGCTATTACACAAAAGTTTTTCATTTAAAAGCCTCTAGCCTACAACAGATTACAAAAATCTATATAGACAGAGAGAAAACACAATTATAAGCACATGAAAAACATAAAACAGATTTTGAAAACAGAAATAAAGTTCAAAACTGTTCTTCAGAAAATGTTGCTATCCAATTTTTTTCTCTTTGAAAAATATCTATTGAAGCAAATAGATGAAAAGAAATAAAGGGGGGGGGGTTGAAGAGAGAGTTTTGAAATATCTGAAACTTTTAATCAATGGACTCTTACTCTTGCAAAAACTACATTCTCAAAAGAAAAAGCAACGTTTTTGTAAGAGGAATAAAAATCTCATTTTAAAAGACATTGACCCTTTGCTTTAAAGAATACCTTTGACTTTTCGAAAATAAAAAGATATGTGAATCTTTTGCATAAAAGAATATGTGAAATCTTTTTGCAATACTCGATTATTTGTTGCCAAAAAAAATAAACTCAAGCCAAATAATCTTTTTTCATTTTAGGTAAGTGGAATTAAAAGAGCAAAGATTTGACTTTTCTCTTTTAAGCTAATTTTATGAAAATTGATTTTAAGACGAGATAAAAAAATTATCTTTGTGCTTTATTTAAAAAAAAAAAAATATTCTCTCTATCCTACAATATATTCTAAGATACTAACCACTAGACAAATCTTCAATAATCTTCATGGTCTTCAAAGAATCTCGAATTGTAGGTACTTACCTTTTTTAGCAATTTCATATTAAAAATCTGCATAAATTATTTTAATATTATTATTTTAACAAATTATGCTAACTGAATTTTCATTGATTGATTAATTAGGAAATTGATTTTTTCAAAAAAAAAAAAAACAGATTATTATCCTAATTTTAAAATAAACTTTAAAATGCAAAAAAAAAATCTATAAAAATATTGTTTCACACGTTTTATACATATGTATATATACATACATACATACCCATTAAACACACCTGCAGGGAGGGTGCGAAGAGCCTTAACTGTTACTAAGTCCCGAGTCGGATTAAGTAGTCCCTAGTAATAGGGTCGGATATCAGTGGTTTACACCAATACACACACACACACACACACTACATATATCACTTTTAAAATTTTAATTTTTTTTATTTTAATATCTATTTATCTATGTCTAAGTTTTTCAATATTTTTATTTATAAATTAATATCTATTTATCTATGTCTAAGTTTTTCAATATTTTTATTTATAAAGGCAACATTTTAATTTTTTTCTTTTTTTATAAATATTGATTGTCACTATATCATATTATATTCATATTCAATTCCTATAAAACCGATCAGACGATTTTCTTCTAAAAATAGAAAAGGTGTATATATTATAGCACTTTGAGATATCTATATATTTATAATTTCCTATTAGTAGCTTTAGTTTAGTTTAAAATTCCTAATAATATCCTTTTATTAGATATTCAATGCAGTCTAATTGGAGAAAATATATTCATTTATACTTTTAAAGATTCTTTTAATTATACCTTTTTATTTCCTTTAAGTTGAGAAAATAGATTGCATTTTTCCTTTTGAATACACTTTTACTTATATTTTAGCATTTTAATTCAAGAAAATATATATATATTTATATTCTCTATTTTATCTTGTAGTACTATTATCCAATGATTTTTATGATTAATAGATTTTGATGTTCTTAGTTATAGGTTCTCATGTGATATTACTTTTTAGGAGATAAATTCAAAACTTTAATTCAAATATTGAAAATGAAGCTTAAATTCTTTTAATTTATTATGTTCTGAATTTTTTAAAATAGACTATAAAAGTTTGAATTAATGAAAAATGGCTATTTAGGCATATTTGCTATCATTTTTATTTTCAGCTTTTATATATAAAAGATGAAATAAAAAGAAAATTCAAGAGTTCTCTTCTTATTCAATATTTTATTCTGCTTTTTTGAAATTTATCGAATTTCTTTTAATTTTCTATGATTTAAAATAATCTTTGACTGCCACCCACCTCCCCTTGGAGATTTTTAATTTTTTTAAATTTAAATAAAAAAAAATTTTTTTTAATAAATATATAGGACCTTTTGAAAATTTTCAATTTAATGTCTCTATTAATATAATATATATATTATATATACTTTAATTTTATATAGATATATATTTATTTTATATTATATATATTATATAAACTTTTTAGAAATGATCTTTCAATTACCAATATTTGTTGTTTGCACATTGATTCCTTTATATATGAGCTTTGAAATAAACTTGAGAAATGATCTTTCATTACCAATATTGTTGTTTGCACATTGATCCTTATATAGAGCTGAAAACTTTAAATAATTTATTTTTAAATTTTATGTAAAATACATGGAGTTCAAAATATTAGATACTTGTCAAAGTAATTACCTGTATAGACTTTATTTTATATTTAATATTACAGAGTTGCTTTGTAAATTGACTTCTTATCAAATTGTATATATATGACTAGTTCAGTAAGCAATAAAGTTAAGTTGTATTTTCTCTTCAAAAAAAAAGTTGTATTTTTCATTAGTACTATTGAAAATTTCAATTTAATTTCATTTGACAAAAATAATTAATGTGAAGATTAAATTTATATTTTATATTGTGGCTACATAAAACAAGTTTTGATTTATTAGATTAATGTCATAGTATCACCAAATTATAAAGTATTTTGCAGTATGGTAAATCCAAATTTTTAGTTATTTTACATAATTAATTAATAACAAAGTTATATTTTTTTATTAAATAAAGAAGCAAAAATATTATTTTCTCTTCAATTAGATGTTATGTTGTAGGACATATTAAATAAAATATTGATTATATTTATTTTAATCTAAATAAGAATTTATACTTCAATATTATATAAATAAAAAAAATTGAACGAGTATATAACAAGTAAAATCAATGTGCAATGCACGTTGTTATAAAAGACCATGTTAATTAAGAAAAGTTATGAATTATTTTTGTTTTTAATCGAGGTAAATAGAAGTCATGAATTGATTGATGACTTTACAACCTTAGTTTTAAACGATAAAAAAAAATATATATATATATATAACCAAAACAATCTCTCTCTAGTTTTGTGAAAAGGCAAACCTAACATTTCCCGCTAGAAAGTATCCAAAGTTTTACTTGATTAATTTTTTAATTAAATAATATATTTTATTTTGTCAGATATCGAAATTCTAAAAGTAGAGTGAATTTGCAGATAGAGTCAAAGGGTAGGTGTAGTAGTAACCAAAATGAAATTATGTCATGACGATGACCTCATATTTTCAATCCAAAGCTAATTGGGATTGATATTAACATCTTACAAATCAGTAACTAGCCGCAGTTCTTTGTACCTAAAGATGGATTCAGAAAGAGCTATTAAGCCTCATGTAATCCTAGTCCCATTCCCTGCACAAGGTCATATAAACCCTTTTATGCAATTAGCCAAGCTTTTACACTCAAGAGGTTTGTACATAACCTTTGTTAACACTGAGTTCAATCACAGCCGACTAGTTCGATCCAAAGGACAGGAAGCTGTGAAAGGCTTGCCTGATTTTCGCTTCGAAACAATACCTGAAGGATTGCCACCTTCTGATAAAGATGCTACTCAAGATCCTGCGGCTTTGTGCGATTCGATCCGAAAGAATTGCCTGGTTCCTTTTTTGGAGCTATTGTGCGATTCGATCCGAAAGAATTGCCTGGTTCCTTTTTTGGAGCTATTGTCTAAGCTCAATTCTTCTTCTCAAGTGCCTAAAGTTAGCTGCATAATTTCAGATGGTGTCATGAGTTTTTGTATTAAAGCAGGAGAAATGTTAGGCATACCTGCGGTTCAGTTCTGGACAGCCTCAGCCTGTGGTCTTATGGGATATTTGCAATATGGTGAATTTATTAAGAGAGGGATTATTCCATTAATTATTATCATTATTATTATGTCCATTTATTATTTCCCTTCTTCCACTTTTCTTTGTATTTCATGCAATGTTTTTTTGTTCTTATTATGTAGTAAAGAACTGAGAAATATGTTAAATTAGTTTTAAAGGCCAAAAAGAAAACTTAGTTCAATGATAATAAAATAAAGGGATTATTTAATTTATTTTTTAAATCCGAATTTATAAATTTCATTAAACGATATAAGGATTAACACCCAAAATTTTAGGGAAATGAACTCTTCAAATTAGTGAAGGATTGCCTGATAATAACATAAACATTTTCCTTTTCTTTTATCTTTTCAGATGAAAGCTTTCTTACTGATGGCACACTTGATACTCCAATAGATTGGATCCCAGGCATGAGTAATATCCGCATTAAAGATATACCAAGTTTTGTTAGAACCACAAATATTGAAGACACCTTATTTGATTACCTGAAATCAGAATCAGAAAACTGCTTAAAAGCTTCTGCAAAAAAGCTTCTGCAATTATCTTCAACACTTTCGAAGAGTTTGAACATGAAGTGTTAGCTGCAATTTCAGCCAAGTTTCCTCTCATTTACTCAATAGGCCCACTTACCTTGCTCGAAAGGCGCTTGCCGGAGACCGAACTCAAGTCGTTAAGGCCAAGTCTATGGAAAGAAGACTCAAACTGTCTTGAATGGCTAAATAAAAGAGAGCCCAATTCAGTTGTTTACGTGAATTATGGTTCTGTGACTGTAATGACGGAGCAACACTTAAAAGAATTTGCATGGGGACTAGCAAATAGTAAATACCCATTTTTGTGGATTATCAGACCTGATGTTGTCATGGGAAATTCTGCAATATTACATGAAGACTTTCTTGAAGAGATTGCAGACAGAGGATATTTAGCAACTTGGTGTCCACAAGATCAAGTACTTTCGCACCCATCTATTGCTGTTTTTTTAACTCATTGTGGGTGGAATTCTTCGATGGAAAGTGTTTGCGGAGGCGTGCCTGTGATTTGTTGGCCATTTTTTGCGGAGCAACAAACAAATTGTAGATTTGCTTGTACTAGTTGGGGAATTGGCTTGGAAGTGAATGGAGATGTGAAGAGTTATGAAATTGAGGCTTTGCTTAAGGAAATGATGGAAAATGATAACGGCAAGAAAATGAAACAAAAGGCTTTGGAATGGAAGAGGAAAGCGAGAAAGCTATTGATGCTGGTGGTTCTTCATACAGTGATTTTGAGAGATTCATGAAGGATTTTCTACATTTTGATTAGAGATATAAGCGGGGTGGGTTTTTCATGGGTACTCAACCCATAAAAACCCCTTTAAAGCAAGTTTGAGTATTAATTAACTGGGTTTGAAACAAGTATGAATATCGAATGAATTATTCACAGTAGATTTGGATTGAGTATAGATTTAAAGCTGTGGGTACCTTCTATTCGCCATGATCCATTATATAATTTAAAAATATTTAATATAATAAATTTAAGTGAAAATTTAAATGCATATTGGGCTTAATATTGTGCTAAAACTTTTATAAATTAAAAACTCTAATATTAATATTGTGCTAAAACTTTTATAAATTAAAAACTCTAATATCATCAAACACCAAAAAAATTAATTACTTCAAAATATTAATCGACTAGAATTTTAGAATTCTATTTCACTAATACTTTTCATTTTCTACTCTATTGTTTATTTTCATCTCTGTCTTCCTAGGTTTGACGAACATCAATATAAGGCGAGTGGATTTTCGTGGTATCTTACCAATCACAATCCATTACAAAGCAAATTTAAGTATTAATTAAATGGGTATAGAACGGGTGCGAGTATTAAAATTTCAAACGGTGTAGATATAGGTATTACAGAAGGAATTTTCAACGAATTTGGAATGAGTGTGGATATTCAAATTTATAAGCCGTTTTGGGTGTGGGTGGTGCAATTTTTACGATACTCGCCCAACTTCCAACCTTAATTTTCATGAGCAGAAATGAGGCAAAAAGGGAAAAAAATATTTATTACTCCCATTGTCCCAAAAAGATGGTCCACTTTCTATTTTTACACATATTAAGAAATATGATTAAAGGATTATTTCATATAAACTTTCCTATTATGTCTATCTTAATATAACATCATGAGTTAATTATTAGTAATTAGAATAAAACTAAGAAGATTAATGGAGGATTATTGAAATAAGGTAAAATTTAATAAGAGTTATAGTAAACAATTAAGATTAACCTTTATAATGCATAAAAGGAAGTAGACTATCTTTTTGGAAACAAAACTAAAAAATGCGAAAATGAATTATCTTTTTAGGACGGAAGAGTAAAATTTTTAAGAAGTAAAATTTTAAGTTATTTATTGTTTTCCTCAAAATATATCACATTGATGATGGTTCTAGGGTAAGAGGTAGACCTAAATGTTAGCGTGGACTTAATTAAAATGAGAGTGAAATGGAAATAAATGATTTATATAGCCAACCCTTGCTAATTTGGGATAAGGTTTAGCTATTAATATTGTTATAGCAAAATCTATGCTCCTCTCCCAAATCATTTGTACAGCTGACTTTTGCATAAAGTTTAAGAAGCACAATAATTATAGTGTCACATCATACAAAATATTTTTATTTTTCTAAAATTGTCTTCCTTTAAAACAAATGGTTATTTTTAGAGTTTAAAATTAGTTATAAAGATGGGCGTAAAAGAAAAAGTAAATTTCTCTTAAGTCAATTGGACATATATTTTAGAATATCTAAAAATGAAAATATGGACAAATATTTTGGTATGGAGGGAGTATTATATTTTGTTCATCTATGGACAAATATTTTGGTATGGAGGGAGTATTATATTTTGTTCATCTGTTGATAAACAATGGTCTATATATAAGAATAGGCAACAATATTTCTTTAGTTTAGACATTCAAGAAATTTAGAGGTTTTCTTCCAAGGCAAAATGAAAAGATGGATCAAGATAATGGTGAAGGTTGATGAATGACTTTCACATCTTTACTGAAAGTTATATGTTTTCACTTTTATATGAAAGTTATATGTTGGGATGTGATTGGAAGTTGAACTTAGTGCAATATGGGATATTCAATAGGTTCCAACGCATATATAGTTTAAAAACAGAAAAGTTAGTGTGCAAAAATGCAAAAGTGCATCTAATTGAAAAAGAATATATATTTTATTATAAGAAGACATGAGTCAGAAATTAAAGTTAATGGGCATAAAAAAATTCAAGAGTAAATTCTGTTGCCTCAAGGGTCAAATTCTAATCTCAAAATTTTGATGATTAAAACAAAATAAATAAATTTAAATTATATTATTTGTGCTAATATTATTTTATGCAGGAATTCTTATGGAAAGAAAATGAACAAGGCAAGTCCTACAAAATCTATAGTGTGTGAAGATATTCGAACACCCTAGTGGGTAGGCATTTTGAATACATTGTAGGATAGAGAGAAAATTCATTTATAAGCACAAAAACTAATCTTTCTCTCATCAAAAACATTTTTCGAAAATTAGACTCTTTAAAGATAAATTCTTTCATCAAAAAATTTGTTTTCGAAAATATGCTTTAAAAATCAAAATGATTTAATTACCTAAAATTAAAGAGATTATGTCTCTAACGATTTTGGTAATAAATCATAATTTTTTGGTTTTAATTAAATCATACACTTCTTTTTGGAAATTCCTTTCTTTTTCGGAAATTCTCTTTGAAGATCTAAAGAATTTTAATTTATTCTCTTACATAAAATGAAGGAAGATCTTATCTTTTCGTTTTAGTAAGTAGTATCTTTTCGAAAAATATCTCTTAAAATTGCTTTCGAAAATCTTTATACTTGAGGAAAGAAAGATTGTCTCCTATTTTCTTACCAAAAGGATAAAATAAATTTTTGGTAACTAAGATTCTCGTATCTTCTAAATAAGGAAACCAAATATTCTAATTTCAAAATGAAATATCCACTTTCCAAAAGCGAGAGTCACATATCTCTCTATAAAAAAGGAGTTTTCACTCGTTGAATAAGTGGAAAAAAGAGTTTTCGTTTTAAAAGTATTCACTCATTGATCACATCTTTTATCTCTCAGAACTTACTCTCTACCCCCATTTTTCTTTTTATCTTTACACTTCACGTTTTTATCTTTAAAGAGAAAAGAATTTTTATAACTACTTTTGAAAAACGGTTCTGGTTCTGTGTTTCTTAAATTGATTTTCTAATTCGATAAACTGTTTTTCCTGTGCTTATTTGTGCCATTTCTTTCTGTTCTATTTAGATTTATGTAATCTTTAGTGACAGGTGCTATTGATAATACATTTGTGTAATAGCTTAGGTGAAAAGCTTCGTGTTTTGAAGAGGGCTTATTCAAGCAACCTCTCCGTGAGAGGAGATTCTAATATCTTGAAAATTGAGTTTTCTGTATCTCTGCCCAAAACAGAAAGTGTGTTGAGGTTTTAACTAGAACTTTTGAAAAATCTAGTGGGTTAAGGGTAGATCTAGGTGTTTGATCTATTGCCGTTGTACTGTTGGTTTTTGTCTTTTCCCTTGGAAAGAGATAAACCATAGTTGAGGATCTCAGATGAGTTCTTTTGGGGAGTGGATTGTTGAGGCGAGTTTTAGTGTCCGTAACACTAGTAAATTCATCTGTGTTGATCTTTTAATTTCTGAAGGCTTTTGTTGATACTGCTTATTTAACAACTTCTGATCTTATATTTTTAGAAATGTAAAGTTATGTCCTTGTTAATGATTACTGATGTTTTTCTAATAACTGGAATGTTAAGTCTTCATCTTCTCTGAATATTTAGAACTCTGGGATATTCTGATTTAAAAGTGAATTTACCCCAAGTTCTAAATCGTTTCTTCTATTTTACAGTATATTTCATACTTGGACGTTGATCAATAATTTTCTTAAACTTTTATGAGAAGTTCGTAATTCAATAGCTTTCCATCCATAGAGTTTAGTTCTGATACTTGATTAAGGCTTTGTGAAGCAGTTAATTTCAATAACTGCACCTTTGCATTAGTCTGTTTCTATTTTTTCATGAATTTAGAACATTGTGAGGAAGTTCTAATCCATAACTTATCCTTACATGTTTCTTTACTTCCGCTGCACTTAGGAAGAATTCTTATATTTTTGTTTTTTAAATTACATATTTTTTTATTACTTTTAGAAAAACCCAATTCACCCCCCTCTCTTGGGTTGTGCCATTACATATACGTCTGGGTGACCCACATTCTGGTACTCAGAGCCTGTGCCTCTTTGACTTACGAAGTCTTAACTGCTTAAGAGATGACAGATCCCATGGGACAACCCCGACTTCCTCTATACTTCGTTAGAAGGTCAATCTGTTTTCTAGTGACCTCCTTTGTTCAATGGTTCTAATTACTCTTATTTGAAGAAACTTAGGAATGGGAAAACTTCATGATAATCAGTTTGATATTAAACTGCTGAGGAATGTTATCCACTGGTCCTGTATCTCCATGAAATGTGTAGGAGCATTGAAGATGTTAAAAAACAGAAGAAGAATATAGCAGATGCTGATTGGAATGATATTGCTATTAAATGCCATATAATTGTCTCTTATTCTTATATATTTTCTTTTTGTTGCTGTAGATTGCAACAGAATACAACAAAGTGTCTAGATGTAAAATCGGCGACAGAAGTATGGAAAAACTTAAAGTCACCTTATGAGGGTACAGATAAAGAGTAAAGGAATCCAAAATAATATCCTTTTGGGAGAGAATATTGAAATGTTTAGTATGAAAGAATGGAGAAAACTATTGCCCAGAGTTTAAATTCTAGATTTACTAATTAGTTAATCCTGAGAATCTCTCGGTTAAGGAATTTCAGAGATGAGCTAAGTAAATACCATAATTCTACCTTAAAAAATGGGGATTCTTATAGGAACTGTCATGAATTAGCAAAGACGACTCCCTACTCCCGTCACTTATGATTACCTTATAGGAGCTCTTGTTTCATAAGAAATGAAATCTTCTTTGACTATAGAAGATAAGAAAAAGAAAGGACTGGCTTCGAGAGTAGATTCTAGTGAAGAAAGTTCTTCTGATCTTGATAGTGATGATTTAGCACTCGTTGCTTAAAGATTTAAAAAGTTCTATAGAAAGAGTGGAAGGACACAAAAAAAGTTTAACAAAAAGAACTTTCCAACCAAAAATGGTAACTTACTTAAGAAAGAACCTTCTGAAGTGGTTTGTTATGAATGCAACAAACCTGGACATATCAAGCCTAATTGTCCTAAATTGAAAAAGAAGTCTCCTTAAATTTGAAAAAGTGAAGCTCAACGAAAGAGAAGCTTCAAGTATCTTTTTGAGGCTCTTGGAGTGATCAGATGATTCTAATTCTGAAAGACCATACTGACATAAAGAAAATTGCTAATATCGTTCTAATGGGCGGCTACTATCATTCTGACTCC